GTCAAGAAAGTCAGGTCCGTGCTCGTGGATTTCCTCATCAGCTCTGGCCTCAAGACCATGTCCATCGTGAGTTACAACTACCTGGGCAACAACGACGGGCACAACCTGTCGGCGCCGTTGCAGCTCCGCTCTAAGGAGGTGTCCAAGAGCAACGTGGTGGACGACATGGTGCAGAGCAACCCACTGCTCTATACGCCCGGCGAGGAGCCCGACCGCTGCGTGGTCATAAAGTAGGTGCCCTACATGGGCCACAGCAAGTGTGCGCTGGTTGAGTATAGCACGGAGCTAATGCTGGGCGGGACCAACACAGTGGTGCTGCACAATAGGTGTGAGGACTCGCTGCTGGTAGCACCCATCATGCTAGACCTGGCGCTGCTGACAGAGCTGTGCCAGCGCGTGAGCTTCTGCGCGGACGCTGACCCTGAGCCGCAGACCATCCACCCCGTGCTGTCCCTGCTCAGCTTCCTCTTCAAGGCGCCGCTGGTACCGCCGGGCAGCCCGGTGATCAATGCGCTTTCCCGCCAGCTCAGCTGCATAGAGAACATCCTCAGGGCCTGCGTGGGGCTCCCGCCACAGAACCACATGCTCCTGGAGCACAAGATGGAGCTCCCAGGGCCTGGCCTCAAGCAAGTCAGACTTGTGGCTGTCGCCAGCCCTGTGTCCAACAAGAAAGGTCCGGTACCCGCTTCCACCAACGACTGCACCGGTGATGCCAATGGGCACCCACAAGTGGAGGAACCCCAGATGCCCACCACCTGAGGTCCCTGTCACACAGCTTCCTTGCCCTTCCTCCCCGCTGCTCCCCAGGACGCCACCTTTCCAGGCCCCCCCAAAGACAATAAAGCCGCTGCCACTCTCAAAAAAAAATTACAAAGGGTTGAACGACAGAGGAGTAACAGTACGAAGAAACTTACTTTTCGTTAGTAACCATGATGATAATATATACATTAAAAATTGTGGTATCAGGGATTCTGTCATGTAATGTGAATAAAATCAATATTTACTTTGAAAAATGTGTTGAATTACCTACAAGAGATGAATTTAACAGAAGAAAAAGGAGAGAAGTGGGCAACTTAAGAGGCCAGGCAACAAAGGGAAGAATCCTTGCATCCATTTGACAACATTTATCACACTCTGTGGCATATCACAGCAATCATCACACACCTGTTTCCTCTGTGCTATGTCATTCCTAATAATAAGTACCCATAGAAAATCGGCTTGCCTCCTGACTAACCTCTCCCATATTCTGTACAATACTAATGAGGCCAGCAAGGATCACAAGGAAGGAAAAACAAAAAATAGGAGCATCCTATTTTTGTGTTTCTTCAGTACAACCTGCAATAAGACCTTTCCCCCACTCTCTCCATTTACCAAATTTTCGCCCACAAAATTTTATAGATTTCTCCAGAATCCTCTGACAAATGCAAATGTTTCTAACATGAAAAAGTTTACTTACAGAACTGAAATATTCTTCAAAGACTAAAGTTTGAAATCCATCTAATGTCAACCTCCTTTATCTAGAATCCACTAGTTTTAAGTAAATAGCACTTTTAATATACTTCCAAAGTAAATAGAGACATTTTCATTAGATGAAACATTACAGTTACTCTATACGTTCTTATCTTGTATTTGGCCTGTTGTCCCCTATTATGTTTTACGCTTCCATTTACTTACCCAGTAAGTCAGGCCTACCAGAGAAAAGTACATGAGTTCATGAACTTAGAGTACCCTGAGTTTTGCTCTAAGATTCATTATAGTGCTCAGTTCACTAGGTTCACCTACTGGGCCACTAAATAGCATGATATAGAGCAGCAACTTTTCATTCTATATAGAAGAGGCTGATGGTACTCATAATCTCTCCATGTTAACTGGCAATGGGGAGAAACTCAACCCCAACCTCCCTTCTCTAGCCCCTCTCTGTTTTGCTCTATTATCCTCAGTGCAAATTCCACAGGCATTCTGTCACCTGACTATTCCAGTATGTAGATTCCCAACCCCTCCTAGAATATGTCATGATAAAGTGATCCCAGGTGAGACCCTTATCCCTTCAGAATGCCCAGCACTGTTCTGATCCCCAACTCTGACTCTGTTAAGGTATTTCTTTTGTTTGTCCTCGTATCTTAATCAGCTTTTTCTTTTCTTTTGTGCTGGAGTCTCACTCTCTTGCCCAGGCTGGAGTGCAGTGACATGATCTCGGCTTACTGAAACCTCTGCTTCCCAGGTTCAAGCTACTCTCCTGCCTCAGCCTCCTCAGTAGCTAGGACTACAGGCATCTGCCACCACACCTAGCTAATTTTGTGTATTTTTAGTAGAGATGGGGTTTCACCATACTGGCCAAGCTGGTCTCAAACTCCTGACCTTGTGATCCACCCACATTAGCCTCCGAAAGAGCTGAGATTACAAGCGTGAGCCACCACACCCAGCCCCTAATCAGGTTTTAAGTCCCCTATTATATGATGCTTTTGAATCCTCCTGAAATCTTAAAGTATAAATTACATGATCTGTAATTGTTACACCATCCAGTCCTCAAAAAACTGGATTTTTTTAAAACAGTAAAATCAGCCCCACTAGCATTTATGGAGTAGTTAGTAATGCAGCAATACTATTCTGAGAGGGAGGAACACATAGGTAGACATGAGAAGCCTTAGAGCTTACAGTGAGAAATAACGGGGCATGGTGCTGAGAATGTACACACAAATATAGTCTCTCTAAATACAGGGATGTAAAACTGCATTTTATTAAACTGCCATTTACACATCTCATTGTATTCTAATTGCTTCATAGGTAAAAATGCTTAAATGTTTTTCCTAATATCCCAAACTGGAAAGTGATGAACATATTTAATTCTCTCTCTTTTCATTTTACTTGATTTCTTAGACAATTCAGATACTGTGGGGGAACATAGGGGAACAAGCTTGAAAACCAAAGTACTTAAGTAAACTTTATTGAGTGCTCACTATATGCTAACTACTAGCGTGGCAGATTCTGGGGATAAAACAGTGAGCAAAAACGAGCAGTGATCTTGCACTGATGGAGTTTACAGTGCAATGGAACGAACCGGTAATAATCAGACCAGTCAATGATGAATTATCACAGGAATAAGTGCTGCACAGAAGAGCCAGGGTGCTGAGTGCACAGCACAGAGGGCACAACGTGGACCTGGCCTATGAGCAGGGAATGGACCGGGCGTCCGGGAGGGCTTCCATGATCAAGGACACACAGCTAGAGGAAAAACCTGAGTAGCACAGAGAGTACGCCAGGCAGAGAGAGGTAGGGGCAAATTCCTTGTGACTAGAGGGTGCAGGACAGTTCCAAGGAACTGAGAGGAAGTGGGAACCAAAGGGTAAGGGACAGTTTGATGGGAAATGAGGCAAAAGAAGCAGGGAGGGACCAGACCTTGCAGGACCTTGTGGGTTGTGTTAAGGATAGATCTTCACCCTCAAGACAATAGGCAGCCACAAAGGAGTTCTGCCTCTGTTGCTAATTACATTCTAAGACCACTTATGCAGAGCATCTGACATAGTCCCAGATCCGTAGCAGTAGGCAGCAAATGCTGATTCCCTCCCAAAGACATCCTACAACATTTACTGCTTTATCCAAAGAGTCTACCAATTAACAATCAAAATGAGTATCTCTTGTATTTTCACATCAGTATCATTGTGAAATGAATTAGTATGTTGGAGTCTTAATGGAATGTCCATTATCTCTCAATATACAAATACAATCACCCTTTGATATCCAAAGGTTCTACCTCTGAAACCAAATGCAGATCAAAATGCAGAATCCAACAGATGTGAAACCTGTGGATAGAGGGCTGATGTTTTGTATATATGGGTTCCAAAGAGCCAACTGCAGGACTTGAGTCTGTGCAACTTTTGATATCTGTGGGGGTCTGAGAACCAATTCCCCATAGACACCAACGCGCAACTAGATATACAAAAAGCAATTGTAGTTTTATTCCCTAGAAATGAACATTCTGGAAATGAGATTAAGAAAACGATTTCATTTATAATGGCATCAAAAAAACCGAAATACTACTAGTAACTCCCAAAAAATGAAGCACAAGATATAGTCTGAAAACAATAAGAGTATGGGAAGAAATTTAGGAGAACCTAAACAAATGGAAGTACACCACATGTTCTTTAACATGGGAAGAACATAGTATTATCAAGACAGCAATACTTAAAATTCATTGAAACCTTAATATAATCAAGATGGCAGTATTCCCTAAGTAGTTCTACAGATTCAATCCAATTTCTATCACAATTCAAGTTGCTTTTGTTCCCAGAAACCAACAAGCTGACTCTAAAATTCATATGGAAATAGAAAGGATTCAGAATGACCAAAACCATTTTGTAGAACGAAGAGTAAAGCAGAGTACTCCCACTTCTAGATTCCAAATTTTACTACAAATCAACAGTAATGAAGACTCTGTGTACCGGCATGGAAGAGACATATAGGTCAATGGACCAGAACTGAGAATCCACATGTCAATTGATTTTTGACAAGGGTGCCAAGAAAATTTAATGGGAGAAAGAGTCTCTTTTATTTTTTTCATCAACGAAAATTTATTTCATTAAGCATGAAGTTATATTCACATTTGTCTACAAACACAGTAAGTAAGGAAAAAATTATCAGCTTTTTTGCTGTAGTACTGGATGTTCAGTGACAGGCTCACTTGAAGGCAGAGTCTACCCTGACGGGGACTCGAGATCAGTCACTACTACTTGGGAAAAGAACACAAAGACCACCAGCTTTCTTGCCATGGTGCGGGAAGTTCAGTGGCAGGACTACTTGATGGAAAAGTCAACCCTAATGGGGACTCGAAAACAGTCATAAGTTCCTGTGAGAAGAACACAAAGACGATGAGCTTTCTTGCTGTGGTGCTGGATATCCGGTGGCAGGCTCACTTATCTTCATGGTTACTAACGAAAAGTAAGTTTCTTCATACTGTTACTCCTCTGTCATTCAAACCTTTGTAATTTTTTTTTTGAGAGTGGCAGCGGCTTTATTGTCTTTGGGGGGGCCTGGAAAGGTGGCGTCCTGGGGAGCAGCGGGGAGGAAGGGCAAGGAAGCTGTGTGACAGGGACCTCAGGTGGTGGGCATCTGGGGTTCCTCCACTTGTGGGTGCCCATTGGCATCACCGGTGCAGTCGTTGGTGGAAGCGGGTACCGGACCTTTCTTGTTGGACACAGGGCTGGCGACAGCCACAAGTCTGACTTGCTTGAGGCCAGGCCCTGGGAGCTCCATCTTGTGCTCCAGGAGCATGTGGTTCTGTGGCGGGAGCCCCACGCAGGCCCTGAGGATGTTCTCTATGCAGCTGCGCTGGCGGGAAAGCGCATTGATCACCGGGCTGCCCGGCGGTACCAGCGGCACCTTGAAGAGGAAGCTGAGCAGGGACAGCACGGGGTGGATGGTCTGCGGCTCGGGGTCAGCGTCCGCGCAGAAGCTCACGCGCTGGCACAGCTCTGTCAGCAGCGCCAGGTCTAGCATGATGGGTGCTACCAGCAGCGAGTCCTCGCACCTATTGTGCAGCACCACTGTGTTGGTCCCGCCCAGCATTAGCTCCGTGCTATACTCAACCAGCGCACACTTGCTGTGGCCCATGTAGGGCACCTACTTTATGACCACGCAGCGGTCGGGCTCCTCGCCGGGCGTATAGAGCAGTGGGTTGCTCTGCACCATGTCGTCCACCACGTTGCTCTTGGACACCTCCTTAGAGCGGAGCTGCAACGGCGCCGACAGGTTGTGCCCGTCGTTGTTGCCCAGGTAGTTGTAACTCACGATGGACATGGTCTTGAGGCCAGAGCTGATGAGGAAATCCACGAGCACGGACCTGACTTTCTTGACTTTGGTCTGTCCAGACTTGAAGTCATCTCCGCCCACGAAAACCCGGCGCTGACACGCGAGCTCCAGAGCTCCGGGCAGCAGGGTGTTCTGCGGGGACTCATTGAGGAAGGCACAGCCCTCCAGGATGCTGGCGACGGCGAAGAGCATGGAGGGAGACACCTGCAGGCCAAGCTCAGTGGTGCGCAGCAGGTTCTCGGCCGTGTAGTTGAGGCCTGGAACCACCTCACACACAGAAGCGCTGTGATGGCGGTCCACAGCACGATGACTCTGTCCAGCCCCGCGCTAGACCAGAAGTCTGGGATGTCCTTGTGGATCTGCTCCAGGTGCTGCGCGCGAGCCCGGGATGAGGTTGTCCGCGATGAGCTCGGGGATGTAGAGGAAGGCCGAGGCCGCAGGGCTTCCATGTGCGGCCACAGTTGCTCCTGCAGCTCCCAATCCAGCACCTTCGCGCGCTGCATCGCCTGGGCGAGGTGCAGCGACGAGATGTCCCAGCCATCGAACACGAGGTCGTTGGGCGCCACCATGGGCAGCAGCGCACTGAAGGGCACGAATACCTCCTGGCCCTTGGCGTCCGAGCCCAGGCTCACGGTGCCCGCCTGAGTCAGCGAGCCGTAGTAGTTGGCCTCCTTGCGGCCCCTGCTCCTGGGCCAAGACAGACGCAGTGGGTTGGCCAGCACCGCGGTGGTGATCTTGGAGCCGTTGTTCCTGCCCCAGCCGACAAGCATGACCCCGAACCGGGGCACCTGCCAGGCCGTCCGGAAGGTGAAGCGCGTGGTCGCGGGTGCACCTTGAGGACGCCGCCCTCTCAGCTGACACGCGTCTTCCGGTACTCGTTTTGTGCCTCGATAGCCTCAGGGCCGTAGACCACGTCCAGACTCTCGACGAATACCTGGGCGGCGGCCTGCATCGCAGCGGGCGGCGCAGAGTCTGTTCAGGCAGCGGCAGAGGACAGCGCGGCTGTAATATTTTTACACTTAAGCCAAGCGCTTGACATCTAAACCTTAAAGACACAGGGGAAAAAACCCACACGGATTTGTTGCACTAGAGGGCGCTGTATTCCAGTTCTTCCTGAGAAAGAAGTCCTTTGGCCCCTAGTTTGCATTGCCATTGAGCAGATGTGAGAATGCTGAGGAGAAGGCAGCATTCCTGCTCTACCTTGAGATTTTTTCCATTCCAGGTCATGAGTCTAGTTTTTAAAACAATATTCGTATCCACCTGTGTTTTTCCTCCTAATAATTACAAGGATGATTATCTGGAAAACTAAGCATAGATTGTATTGTGCAAATATTTTAGAGCTTCTTTTAAAATTGCCTTGAAGGGCCGATGTGCTATTTCCTTTTTGGGTGTCCTCAATGGAGTACAGCATTTATTTTTTGCAAGCAAATTTCTGGAAACAACCTAAAGTTACTGGTACCAAGGAGATGCCTATTGAAATCAGTGCTAGATATACTTTGCCACTGAAAGTAACGGCGAAAACCGCGATTACTTTTGCACCAACTTAATAGATATACGAAAGTGTGGATTGTATGACATAGATTCTCAACTCTCTGAGAGTCATCATCAACTCTCTTCCTGCCCACCCACATGCAAGTCCTGTGCTTCTGTGATATGTTATTCATTAAAAAAAATACCCATGCAATTACTTCTCAACTGCAAAACTACAGCATTGATAATAACTTAAATCTTTCTATGTGGCCCTCCCTAGCTAGTCATGTGTTAACTAGGGTTTATTATTTTCTTGATTCCCTTTTTATATAATTTTATTATATAAATTTATATATTATATAAAATTGTTATACAATTTTATTATATAAAAAGGAAAAGGTATTGATTACAAATGTATGAGTCATATATATTAATGTGATTGGGCTCGTCCATTAAAAAATGTCTTATTGGGTTGAAAAGCAAACCCCAATTAGGTCGCTCATTTAAAAGGTGTCAAAAATGCAGCCTGGCCCAGCTTAAGTGTCCTTGTTTATTTATCTTAGATCTTCGGGACTGAGAAATCTAAAAAACAAAACCACCCATATTTTATAGGTGACAGAGAGATCAAAGAGCTTGAAGAAAGCAGTTCACTAGAACATCAGAGTGACAATGAGTTAAAATGTTTTCTTTCTTGCATTTATCATGTTTCTATTTAAATTCGAATTCTTTTTTTTAATTAAAAAATTGGTGCAGGTACATAGGTATATATATTTATGAGGTACATGAGATATTTTGATACAGGCATGCAAAGTATAGTAATCACATCATGGAAAATGGAGGATCCATCCCTTCAAGCTTTAATCCTTTGTGAACACCAATTTCTTGAAGAGCAGGATATGCATCCAGATTTTTAAGAAGATGATTTTTTTATTCTGAAGATCTGACCATTTTTCTTCCATTTACAGGTATGCAGTAGGATCACTCAAGTCACAGTTTTGTATGTGCACATGTGATTGTACGCAAGGAGAAACTTTCTGCAAGGGCAAGAGAGTTCCAAGTTTCTCTCCCCTCTTAATAGGACTTTTATACTTAATTGGCACAATGTAGAACATTTGGATACAAAAACCTAAAAGAAAATAAGTATAATTATTTATCTGGCCTTCAGTAACCTTGGATTTGAAATTCAAAAATAACAAATGTGCAAAAAAGAAATAATGTTGAATGAACTCAGGAGAGGAATAGATGAAAATGACAGAATGATATTACAAAGGAAGACTAAATTACAGGATGCCAAAGGAAGAATAGATTCAAAGGAAATGTTAATAAAGACATTGAAGAATAACAGTGGGAAAATAATAGCTAGTTAGAAAAGGTGAATGATTCCTTAAGGCCAGGTACGGTGGCTCATGCCCGCAATCCCAGTGCCTTTGGGAAGCCCAGGAGGGTGGATCATAAGAGGTTAAGAGTTAGAGACCAGCCGGTCCGACATGGCAAAATGCTGTCTCTACTAAAAGTACAAAAAAGTTAGCTGGGCATGGTGGCAGGCACCTGTAATCCCAGCTGCTCAGGAGGCTGAGGCAGGAGAATTGCTTGAACCCAGGAGGCGGAGGTTGCAGTGAGCCGAGATCACACCATGGCACTCCAGCCCGGGTGACAAACTGAGACTCTGTCTCAAAAAAAGAAAAAAAAAGTGAACCCTGAACAATGTTAACTCCAAGACATATTCTAATAAGTGACTGGACTTTAAAAATAAAGAGAAATGGAAATAACTGGAACAAAAATATAAACCTTGCTAAATATCAAAAGAACTAAAAAGGCAAAGACCCAAGTAGAGAAACAGAGTATAATACAATAATTATAAAATAAAATGATGGTATTGGATACAAATATATGAGTCATGTGAATGGGCTTATCTCATATTAAAAATGTCCTGTTGGGTTAAAAAGCAAACCCCAGTTTTCTGTTGTATGGAATAAAACACAGCGATTGAAAAGATGAAAGTGAAGAGCTGGACAAAGATGTGCCAAGCAAATGGACAAACATTTGCCAAGCAGTAAGAAAGCGAGGGCTGTCATCCTGTTACCAGAGACTGGAATTCAGGCCAAAAGACACTGAAACAAGGAAAAGGAAGATAATGTGAGAGGGTAAGTGCCACAAGTCACAATGAAGATATAGCAGTTACTATAAGTGCTATAAATAACATGCACTAAATAACAAACACAAGTCATCTACATAAAGCAGAGACCACAGACGCCAGGAGACACAGATAGAAACTCACCAATAATAGAAGACTTTAATACACTACTGGCACTGCACACCAGTCAAGTGGGCATCATAAGACTGTAAAATTATGCTGTGCAATATGGTGCCACTAGCCATATTGAATATGTGGTTATTCAGCACGTGAAAGGTAGTTAATCTGAATTGAGATGTGCTTTAATGGTAAAGTATACAATGGATTTTGAAGGCTTAGTGTTTGAAAATGTAAAATATCTCAATAATTACATATTGATATAATATTTTGAAAACCTGAGTTAAATAAAATATTAAAATACCATGTTTCTTTTTACTTCTTTATTATGGCCACTAGAAAATTTAAAATTAAATGTATGACTTGTACTATATTTCTATTGTATAGCTCCACTATAGAAGAGCTAAAACTCCATCAGGTAGGTTTTATGAATATATATTAATCAAAAGACGTGCAAGACTTGTACATGGACAACTACAACAACTGTTAATATAACAGTGAAGAAAAACCTAAGTAAATGGAGGATAAAATATGTTCATTGATTGGAGGACTCACTACTTTAAAAATATCAGTTATCAATTTGATCCGTATAGTTACTGCAGATTCAGTCAAAGCCCTGTCAGGATTTTTGGTGGAAATTAGCAAACAGATTCTGTAATTTATTTGGAAATGCCAATGACCAAGAATTGACAAGACAACCTGAAAGAAGAAGAAAGTCTATTCCAATTTTGCATTCTGGAACTGGGGAAATAACCTCTTGGTAGATTTGAGGATGCACTGGGCTTAGTATAAGCTGGACCCTGCTGAAAAGCTACATCAACCACCTGACTATAAGCCCCTAGTCTGGTGAACCACAGTGACCTTTTAGATCTTCAGGAGTTAGTGTCAGTTTTGAGCAAGTGTCCGATAATCTCTGAAGAGCCTAATAATTTCTTCCCCAATGTGCTGTCATCCTGCTAAACTATCACAGGCCCCTTTGGGATGGCTAGAAGTAAGGTTTACATTATAAATCCTTGGGGGCACGGCAGGACCCTTACTCAAAAGGACTGAGCCTCCCTTTCATTCAAGAGGCTCTGGGACTGTGAACCGACTCAAGCCTGGCAATTTATTGGGGATTGCAACCCCTTATTGTAATGACTGAAGTCATTTCATCAGACCTAGAGTATTTCCATTCATACAAGTCCAATAAAGCTTTAGGTGGCTGCTCATTTATTCAGTTCTAGGGTCGCAGTTATTACTAGCCAATGTCACAGATCTCTGAGATTTAGATGAATCTGATTACTTTCTGCTCTCAGTGATCTTGGCATTGACTGTTAAGTGCCACTTCAGAGGACCCAGTTCCATGGCAGAAGTTTCTCTTGTGACATTGGGCCAACAGAGGACAACCACTGTATAGCTCCTCAAGGATGCGGGTTCCCTCACAAGATACCTCCCACAGTTTTGGTGAGGTGGGGCTCCTCTGGACTCACTCCCAAAAGGAGTGCATATATATGTTCATTAAAAGGTATAAGAAGGTTCATAGCAGCAATTTTATAATCACCTAAAACTGGAAACTACCCAAAGGTCCATCTAAGGAAGAATGGAGACCTAGATGAAAATATATGCATATAATGGAATATCATGTATCCCAAAGAATGTCCATATAAAAACATAAACTACAGAATCATGATGTGGAATGTAAGAAGCCACACAAAAAGAAGGCGTGCTGTTTAATTCTATTTATACCATTTTTAGAAACAGGAGGAACTAACGCATGGTATTAGAACTTTGGATAGTGATTGCCTTGCTGGGAATAATGTCTAAACGGTAGCACAAGGGATCTCCGGGATGCTGGTGATGTTCTTTTTCTGGATCTGGGTGCTGGTTACACAGATGTATTCACTTGATGGAATTCATGGAGTTTTACATGGATGTGTTGTGCACTTTTATGTGTATATTTTATACCTGAATGCAATTAAAACAAGAAGCAAAGCCAATACCTGGAATACCAGGAGACCTAGCTTCACCTGAAACTTAGAAGCATTCAAATATTTCACATTCGACTCTCGTGCAAGTACCAGCATTTATGATGTGTGGGATTTGAGTAAATAGAAGTGTCTATCCATTATGGTTAGCATTGCTGAAAGTGGCTTTGTTCATAGATCGTGAAGCAAAACCACAAGGGCCACAGGAAGGAATGACTCCAATCAGCTGCAGGGTTTCACGAAGTGTGTGCATGAAGCAGAAGTTTTCAGGGAAAGTGGTGAAAAGTCCTTGAAAAGTATTTGAAAGTGCATCAGCAGGAAAGGATCATAAAAAATATCTATCGGCTACTAGGCTTATTACCTGGATGGCAAAATAATCTGTACACCAAACCCCTGTGACATGCAGTTTACCTGTATAACAAACAGGCACATGTAGCCCTGAACCTAAACAGTTTTTAAAAAATGCATCAGCTAGTTTGGTATACTGTATGTCCTTTTTGTTCTAGGTTTTATCGTTTTGAAAGAACAAAACCTCTATGTATGGGACCTGC